GTGCTCCAAATGTCTCTGCCTTGGATGCTTGGAGAGTCTCTCAACAGCGCGATGCCTTCTTCACTGGAGACATCCCGCGAAGAAGAAGGACCTGTCTTCCGCATGCTTGACACAGCGTGGGAGGTACATGGAACGCACATTGTGATTTCAGGTCGCAACAAAAACGCCGACTTTGTAACTGGAGCAAGCGACCTGCAGACGTTGACCCGTCTGTTGCCCTGGTGAGAGAACAGTGCCACGCCACATTCGGATGTTAACACGTACGTGCATGGACGCATAGCACGCGTACAACATGTATGTGGTCATGCAGGGCATGTTTGGAACGATGCGTCGAACTCCAAAGACTGCATTATCCCCTACGTGTAGTTCAAAATGCGTTTGCCCGTGTTCCCCCTGCCAGACAAACGCAAATACTTGTTTTGTGCGAGATATGATACGAAACCTGAGGAAATGAACGTCGTGGTTTTGAACCGTAGTTTTGGGTGCATACTTCTGTTTCGCACTTGTACTGACGCACGGCAGCTACAATTAGCACATGTTTATCTACACTGTCATGTTCATCCCCATGTTCTTCTTCATCTCCATTACCACCGTCTTCCTCTCCATCCACCTCTTTCACCTCAAGGGCCCAGCCTGCTTATCCTCCTTGCGCCCATGCTCGCCCACGGCGCCTGCAATGGCCCAGTGGAACAGCGGCCAGCACGGCGGGCAGTGGTCCCAGGGCGCTTGGGGCTCCGGAGGCGCCGGCTCCTGGCAGCAGCCGCGGCTGCACTGGAGCGGGCTCACCAACGAGGAGCTCCGCGCCGCCGGCGAGAGGAAGGAGTCGCAGAAAATGGAGAAAGCCGTCAGCGCCTGCCTCGCACAGCTCGCCCCGTCGCTCCTGGGCAAGATGGGGGTGACGACGCCTGCCTTGTCCCCGGGGGCCGCGCCGGAAGCGGCCGGCCCGTCGGTGCCCACGCCTGGAGGTTTCCTGCAGCACGTCCACACGCCGTTCAGCAACGCGGCGGCGAGGACCTCCGAGCTCGCCGAGGCTCTTGCCCGCGACCACCCCAAGGTGGCAGAGCGCATGACGAAGCGGGGCGCACAGCCTGGCCCGCTGGAGCCCGCCAAGCGTGCGAAGGGCGTGGGCATTGCAGTGCCCGCGAAGAGCAGCGCCGTCGTGCACCCAGTCATCTTGCTCAACTGGCAGGCCAAAAAGGGCTGCGGCCAGCTCCCGAAGAACAGCACCACGGACAACGTCGTCAACCTCCTGGTCAACGACGTGGAGGTGATGAGGAAGGTCGCCGGGGTGATCACGAACGACCCGGAGCACCCGCTCGTCAAGCAGCTCGGCCGCAGGGCCCATGAGCAGCCGAAGCTCCGCGCTGCTTTGGCTGTCCTCGCCGAGGAGGCCGTGGAGGAGTACGCGGATGACCGGGACGGGCCCAGTGATGAGCACTAGGGACAGCGCGGTGGCGCTGGTGCATAGATCAACTTTTTCTACATGACTGTATTCTACATGATTTGTGCCGCCATTCTGATTGGTATCTTGATCGGCGTTGTCAGGGCCATGTGGGAACCGGCCTGGGCAGCGATCTCCGAAAGCATTCTTTTGAAGCTAGTGATCGGAGAGACGACTGGAGCAGATACCCGTTTCAATGTGGTTGACCTTATAGTCGCGATTGCCATTGCTCTCCTCGGGCGGGACAGAATGCCAAGGTTGATCACGACGGGTTGTGCGTCCGCTTTCCTCCTCTACGTGTCCCCGCTCATGCCGCAGTGAGTTCGTGCCATGCTGCTGGGACAGGCTGCGGGGTTCCCTCTGGTCGGCGCGGCGCCGCAGTACGGCTTCCCACACGGCGGGGGGCTGCAGCAGTTTCCCCAGCAGTTTCCGATTGCCGCGGCGACTCATGGGTACGGGTACCAGATGGACTGGACCTAACCCAGGTACGTGGGCTTTGGAGCCACGCAGGCATGGCAAACGCAGGCGCCATGGCAGCACGACCCCGGCTTGCAGCGGCAGACCTCTCAACAGAGACACGGAGGAGACGGCAGCAGCCGCTGGCAATGGCCTTGGTAGACACAATCATTCATCAGGAAAAGATACTTGAATCCATGTATGCTGATCCTGACGTGCTACGCCACCGACACCGAGGGCTGAGTGAGCCAAACTTTTCGAGCTGACGTACCCCGTACGTCTTTCAGGCAAGTTGCATTCACCCTGTGTCCCCACTCGCCCCCTCCCGCTCGCCCTTTTCGCCCGCTTGCGCTTTTCGCCCTCTCCACCCGCTCTCTGCCACAGCACGGGAGATGACAGCGATAGAGTTCTGCTGCCATTTAGCTCCCAAGCGGTTTAGACAGGAGCTCAAGGGGGGCATGTAATCTTGCTTGCTTACTCGCACACACGTGTGGGTCGATTGGGAGTGCAGAGAATATCAGGAGCATCAGAAAGGTCTCCCTCCTCCACCCTCCCTCATCCTTCCTTCCTCCCCCATCCTCCCTCCTCCCAATCCCCTCCTCCCCCCTCCTCCCTCCTCACTCCTCCTTCTTCCTCCCCTTTTCTCCACCTTCCTCCCTTCTCCTCCCTCTTGTCCTCCCCCTCGCCCGCAATTTACTGCAATACAATCTACTTCACATGCAATGCAAATGCAACGCAATGCATTCAACGCAACAGGATCGTTGGTCGACTGATCGGTTGGCTGGTGGCTGGTCGGTCGGTGCGCAAGTAACTCGGTTGGCTGGTTGATCGGGCGGCTGTCACGTGGCGGCGCCGCTGGGGGCGGAAAAAATACTGTTCCACTCTGCTCGCCACGTGGCACCGCCTGGCGGGGACCGACAACATTCGCTTCGTTGGGACAGTTCTAATAAACATCATGACAAGACCCCTCCCTCGGGAGCAGCGCGACCTCACGAGGACCCCCCCCTCTGGCCCCCGCTCTCCCAGGAGGGGACCTCGCGCTCCGAGCGGGAGCTCTGATGAGGCCGAAAACTCGGCCTTGACCCCGTGGAGGCCACTCTTTGGGGCCCTCCTCCGCCTCCGCCTCCTCCCGCCTCCGCCTCCTCCTCCTCCTCCTCCTCCTCCTCCTCCTCCTCCTCCTCCTTGGCTCGTCCCGCGACGACCGCCGCGGAGCCAACAGGAAATGCGAAGCCGCTCCGCGCGCCACGTGCCCGCGCCCGGGGGCGCGCAGGCAGCACGACTCCATCCGCGCTGCTCGCCGCGCGGCAGCGCCACGGGGTCGGAGAACGAGAAAAACGATTCCGCTCCTCTTTTTGGTCGCGCGGCAGCGCTGCGGGGGCCGACAAGCATGCTGTGCCGCTCCACTCGCCGCGTGGCAACGAAACAACATTCGGTTGTAGTCGTCACGTGGCAGCGTCGCGTGGGCCGAGAAAACCATTGTGCCACAACGACGACTCGGAAGACAACGAGAACGACGACGACGAAACTGACGACGACGATGGCCAGGGCCAGGGAGGCGAACAACGGTTCTGTCCAATTCTCATCGTCCTTCTTCCTCCCCCGCTCCCTTCTCCCTCCTCCATCCTCCCTCCTCCCTCCTTCCTCCCCCTTCCTCCCTGCTCCCCCTACCCTCCTCCCCCCTCCTGACCTCCTCACTCCTCCTTCCTCTCCTGCTCTATACCTTCCTCCCTTCTCCTCCCTCCTGTCCTCCCCCTCGCCCGCAATTTATTGCAATGCAGTGTATGGCAAACGCAATGCAAATGCAACGCAGTGCAACGCAACAAGATGCAATCCAATACAATGCAATGCAACGCAACGCAATGCAACGCGTCACGTGGCAGCGCCTTGGGAGCCGAGCAAAAACATGCCACGACGACGACGACGAGGGCCAGGGATGCGAACAAAACTACTATCCTATCCTCCTCTTCGTCCTTCTCCCTCTCTCCTCCTCCCTCCTCCCTCGATCCCCCCTCCATCAGATCGGGCCACATCGTCACGGAATCGACGTCGGATCGGACCGGCCGCGCCATGATACACCACCACGCTGTGTAGGCATCGGGTCGCATCGGACCGTCAGAACATCGAAACCGAATCGGATCGGGCCAGCCAAAATCGGCATGGAATCGGATCGATTGGGCGAAATGGGCCCTGGAGCCAGTATGCTCTCGGCTCGAGCCGATCTGCTCGAATCTGGGGAAGATCTGCCCGCGCCTCGGACGTGACGACCCTACTGGATGGTGAGCAGCGTGCTTCTTGCCCGCGCGCGTCTCCCCCACCTCACCCCGCTGCGCAAAACCACGACGGCAAACTTTTCGCAACCTTCGGCCTCGGGGGGCCCTTCCTGGGCCCTGGCCCCGTCAACAGAACGGCACAGGATGAGCATCCAGTCCCGCGGAAGGAGTTCGGATCTGTTGGGGAGCACGGCGTCGGAACCCTGGGGCTTCTGGACAAACCGACCCCCTGATACCACTGCCCAGCCTGTCCTCGTGTCTCCAGAGCCGCGATCCCCCCGAACCCCTGTCCCCGATTCAAAGTCAGTGTCGCGTGCCCGGAGGCGAGCGCATCAAGGGTGCGGGCGGTGGAAAACAGCACGTGCGCTTGCTTCATAGTCGTGATGCGCGTGCTGCGCCACGACCCTTTCGCAGAACAACACGCAACCATCGTGCTGCCATAAGGAATGGGAGCTTCTCTGGCCGCGGCGGGCCTGGACCACAAACAGGTTCCACGATGCGGCCTGAAAACCCGAGCCCCTCCTGAGCCCAAAGCGGTCCTTACTTCAGCGTCTTGGCTGTAGAGGAATGGCAGATTCAGTGTCCCCCATCTCTCGCGCATCCCAGCTCTGGGGTGAGGAAAAGGGCCCTCGAGGGACACTTTAGGGCCCATGCTGGCTCCAAGAGAGGCCAGGGCCCTTCTCTTCCGCTCTCTCTTCTCAGAAGCCCTCCGGCCTTCTGAGAAGTTTTCTGTGTACGTACTCGAGGAAGGAAGGCTTAGAAGTAAGCTTCTCAGAAGGTCCGCCCCATCTCACTTCCCCTCCCAGGCTCGCCGCCGATCTGACCCTCCCCGCCTGGTGAGGGAGGCCTTCCCGATGCTCTTGCTGCCCACCATGTCCTCGCCCGGGGAGCCCCGGGCGCTCGGCGCGCGCGCGGGCGCCCCCTCCGCCTCTCAATCTGCCGAGACACCTGCTGCTTCGAGGCAGGTCGCGCAAGCCAGCGCAGCCTGCACGCCCCCCTCCGCTTGGCCCCCCCCTGGACGGTGACCGATCGACGTCAGATAGACTGGGGCACGCTGCTTGTGTAATTGCCCACTGGCCTCGTCCAGACTGTGTAATTGCGTCTTCGCGTCCTGTGTAATTGCCCACTGGCCCGTCGACGTCCTCGCGCCCTGTGTGATTGCCCACTGGCCTCGCGCAGACTCTAGCACGAGCGGTGCGAGGCAGGTGGGGGAGGCTCGGGGCACAGGGCGCAACGGGGCTGGGCCAGCCCAGAGACCCCTGTTCAGGTACGGGCAACGGTCGCAGGTGGGGTTTTCCTGGTCGCGACTCCAGATACACGGACCCCTGCTTGCAGGGGGTGAAACAAACGTGTGAGAGGTTTGGCCATCCCACACCCTTGGCTTCCCAGGAGGCCGCTGACCCACAACTCAGGCACGGGGGCGGGATGGGCCGAAGAACATCAGATAGCTGAACACAATGCAGCATGACATTACATAGAGCAGCGCGTAGCATGGCATAGCATTGTGCAGCGTTGCATCGCGCATAGCATGGCATGGCAATGCGCAACGCAGCATGGCATACCATAATGCCGAGGGCTCAACAACATGGGATAATCGGCCTGGAACCGCCCTACTTCGGGGGGGCCAATGTGTCCTCAGGAAGAGCAAGAACAGACTTTGCATCCTTGCGAGGTCCAAGAAGTAAGGGCCGGAAGGAAGGGTCGTGCAAGGCAAGCGTAAGATGGCCGAGTACCATTAAGCAGGGAGGGCCAGTGGCCCCTGAAGAAAGACAGTCTCCTGTACCTGACTTTGACGGTGCTCGATGCGAGCGCAGACGACCGATCTCGCCATGGGGTGCGACGGCCCCTCGGGAAGCCTGCGGGGAACGGCAGTGATGGAGAGGCTGAAGGCAAGCCGATCCTGCCAACATTCGAAGCGGCTGCTGCTCGAATATGCAACCCCTGCCCTACTTGCGCGTCTGATGGGACGCACAGGGACATACTAGTACTATATGTCTTCCTTGGAGGCGCGCGTCCGACCCGAACATATAGTATACCCATCTTGTAGTATATCGTTTCCCGAGCGGTGTGGTCAGAAAACGCCCGCCACGACGCATATACTACAATATTTCTCGGTGCGCGCGTCGCCCCGGGGGGGGGGGGGCACGCACATATAGTACAAGTATGTTGGGGCGACGCCGATCTGATATGTTCCCTGATCTGTTCCGATCCTTGTCCCGCACCTCAAAAACCACCTCGGCGAAGCTGCCCAACTCCAGATCGTGTGGACCGTAGTTCCACTCCGGGTTCAGGGTGCCCCAGATGACGTTCGTCTGGCAGCGCACCTCTCGAGCACAACTTCTGCATCGCCAGTGAAATCAAAACGTAGGATACTTAGCTTTAAGTCGGGCCTGTCCCCCTACAGGGGGATTTTCGACGAAAAATAAAAAACACCAAACATAATTAAAAATAATCCCAAACTAGTCTGGGGACTATTTTTTGAATATTTGTTTTACCTTTTTGGGGTACTTTTGAGGTACTTTTTATTTTTCGTCGAAAATCCCCCTGTAGGGGGACCGGCCCGACTTAACCCCAGGGGGAGTGTGTGGGCACGGGCATCGTGCGAGCGCATCTCGGGAGATTGAACACCCGACGGTGGTCCTTGGTTAGCTCCGTTCTCGTGGGTGTGCCTGCTGGAGGTCCTGTCAAGTCTTGCAACATCCACAGCTAAGTTTAGGTCGTGCCGGTCCCCCTACAGGGGGAGTTTCGACGACAAATGAAAAAATACGTCAAAAGTAGCCCAAAAAGGTAAAAAAACAAAAAATCAAAAAATAGTCCCCAGACTATTTTGGGATTGTTTTTAATTATTTTTGAATATTTTTCATTTTTCGTCGAAAATCCCCCTGTAGGGGGACCGGCACGACCTAAACTTAGCTGTGGATGTTGCAAGACTTGACAGGACCTCCAGCAGGCACACCCACGAGAACGGAGCTAACCAAGGACCACCGTCGGGTGTTCAATCTCCCGAGATGCGCTCGCACGATGCCCGTGCCCACACACTCCCCCTAGGGTTAAGTCGGGCCTGTCCCCCTACAGGGGGATTTTCGACGAAAAATAACAAATACACCAAAAATACCCAAAAAGGTCAAAACATACTCAAAACATAATACCCAAACCATTGTTTGACTATTTGTACTATTTTGGGATATTTTCTGTTTCTCGTCGACAATCCCCCTGTAGGGGGACAGGCCCGATTTAACCCTAGGACCTGGTGTGTGGAACCCTCTGTGGGGCATCAATGGTGCGAAGCCTCTGTGTGGAAACCTCTGTGCAGAACCCTATGAGTGGACCCCCATGTGTGGAGCCATGTGTCGTGGGGCGTTACAATCCACCCGCGTACTTCGAGCACGTACACACGGCACACCGCAACCTTTCAAATTTTCGGTCGTCTCGGATGAGCGAACTGACCTTGCCATACGCTGCAAATGGGTTGGGCAAGTCCATGGGTATTTGTGCCAAGAGGGGGAGAGGAGAAGGAGGAGGCGGACGAAGAAGAGGCGGCTTCGGGATACAACCCACTGTCATGTGCGTTGGCACCTTCTTCAGACAACCGTTCCGTGGCAACACAACGCGGTCCACGCCTCACCGCCCTGCGCTGGACCATGCAGCGCAACTACCTTTAGCATGAATGATCCACGCCGTGAGACACTACCCGGTAACCGAGACTTCGCAAACGACGCATGGCGAATGCACGTCCATGGGTCATCGAGGCCGGCTCAGCAAAATGAAGAATGTGCCCGTGCCTGGCCCCGCACAAGGTGCCGACGGACCGCCGCGCTCTCGCCTCCAACCTTATCCCGGAATTCCCCGGTCCGCTGACGAGGTGGGGGTGGTGGTTGGGCCAGTGAGACCACCTTATCACCGGTTCTGATCAGCACGTACGGGTCGCTCAGATTGTTGAAATGGTTGGCTACTTTCAGATTCTCGGCCTTGTAAATCCATGCTTCGTATACCGGCTTCGGCTCCGGCTGGATGAAGGGAGGGTCGGAAAACTTCTTGTCATCACGGGTGGGGACGACCTTCACTCTGAGGTGACCGTTTCCGTCACCAAGATCGAGGTCAGTGTATAATCCCTCGTTGCACTTGTCCTGCCAGGGGGGCGCAAACTATTCAAACAGAACTCCTCGTAGACAGGCCCCCACTATCGCTGGACATCTGATGGCATATAGGGAGACGTAAAACCATTGCACTCTGGGCAAGCGACGTGCCACTTGTTCGGGGAGGAGTTGTCTCCCGAACGCCGTCATGAGCGAGCATTCCGCACATGCAGCAGGCACCTAGTGCGCGAAATCTGCATCATGCGACGCAAAATGTGGCCGAGCAGAGAACCCGGATTAGAAGGAGGGAAAGGAAGAAGGGCAAAGAAAACGAGAGGTCGTAATCCCACCGACCGCTTGAGGCGCGAAGGGTCTCACGACTGCGTTTTCGCCCGTCTTCTCCTTCGGGGACAGGTTTACCCTTCCTATTACCCCTACGGGGAGGACCGCGAGGGTTGGAGCGTCCACAATGGCCCATGATGGCTCCAAGCAGGCTTCGGATAGCCCTAGAGGACCTCCCAGATCGCACAAGATTGTCCAAGAGGGCCCGAAAGAGACTCAAACATGCCTCTCAGAGGCCTCAAGACCGTCCAAAGTCGGCTCCAAGTGGCCTCGAACCTTGTAAGGACGTTCCCGAAAGTCCAACATCCTTCAAACACCAGATGGGGAATCCATGTTTTTGCCTTCTCACCTACGATGGGCTTCCGATGCCTCAAGTCGGCCCCAAGAGGCATGGCACACGAATTAAACTGGTCCCCGGCTGAACTGGGCCCCAAACTGAACTGGATCCATGATGAACTGGTCCTGGGCCCCAGACTGAACTGGTCCCTGGACGAGCTAGACCCCAGCTGATTCAACCAGGGCTCAACTCAATTGGGGCCCAAGTCGAACAAAACCCAATTCAACAGGCCCAAATGAAACGGGACCCGACTCAGCCGGGGTCGAATTCATCCGGGACCCAATTTCCAGGGCCCAATTCAACTGGGGCTCAATTTCACGCGCTGAACTCGTTCCCGCTGGGACCAGTCTGGCCGCCCGACCCCCCCCCGGCCGAGCGGCCGTTGTGCGCGCCCGCCTTCCACGTCCCTCACGTGGGCCCCGAACACCACAACCCGACGACAGAGCCGCCTAAGAGCCAACGGCCCTAAGACCCAAAGGCTCGAAGATCCTGAGACCCGCAAGCCCCAAGACCCAAAGAAAAAAACGAATACCCGAAGACCACAAGGCTATCCAGCCCTAGTGCCCCAAGTTTTGTTTCCGTGGCGCGCCCCTGCCCGCGGCCAGGACACCGATCATTTTCACTTGAAAATGGCCGGCTCTTCCTGCGCGGGAGACTCCATGAACATTGACCGCTGCGCCGGCCTCAAGCCCGCGCCCAGGCCGGCGTCGCCTCGCTGAAGAGGAGGCGCTCCTCCTCCGGGGACAGCGCGGGGAGGCAGGCGTGGACCGTGGCCGCTGTTGGCGGCGCGCGCACGGGGGTGGAGGGAGGGGGGGGGCTTCTTAGAAGGAGGCTGCTTCTTAGAAGGCGCCGGCCTTACGTCTACAGATAAGGCCCGCGCCCTCTAACAAGCAGGGGTGCTTCTAAGAAACCCTCCCCCCTTCCCCCACCCCCCTCTGCTCGTGGCCGACGCTGCCTGGCGCCAGATGGCCACGCCGATGGCCGCCTCGGCCCGGCGCCGCAGCGGCCGGTGGCAGCGCAGCCCGCGGCGCCGCGCGGCCCGCAGCGCCAGCGTCCGGAGCGCCGCCTGCGCCTCCAGGTGGGCACGGCCGTAGGCGGACCAGACGATCGGCACGTACGTAATGCCCGCCGCCGCCAGCTCCGCGAGGTGGCGAGGAGGAGGAGGAGGAGGAGGAGGAGGAGGAGGAGGAGGAGGAGGAGGAGGAGGAGGAGGAGGAGGAGGAGGAGGAGGAGGAGGAGGAGGAGGAGGAGGAGGAGGAGGAGGGGAGAGGAGGAGAGGAGGAGGAGGAGGAGGAGGAGAGAGGAGAGAGGAGAGAGGAGAGAGGAGAGAGGAGAGAGGAGAGAGGAGGAGGAGGGCCGTAGTCGTCGAGCTTGCGGGGCGCGTGGCCTCGCAACAGTCCTCGCCAGCGCCTTGCGCATCCAGGCTGCACGCGCCAGCATCCAGAGCCGCCAGGCGACCCACGAGGGCCGCGCTGGCCAGGACATCAGCAGGGCGGAGCAATGGTGCTGACGGCATCCGTCCGGGAGCTTCGGCTTCGGCGCTGGGGTCGGCCAGGTGCGCCAACGCCAAAACGTGGTCGCGAACCTCGTAATGGCCTCGCGTGGCATCTGGGGTGGCGCGCTGGAGAGCGTGGGAACACGCCAGGTCGAGCGTTCAGAACTCCCGCGAACGGCGGCAATCGACAACCCGGCCAGCCGGGGGCAGACGGCCGTCTGGGGCCCGCTCGGGGTCCTCCGCGCCGGCTGGCAGGATGAGGCCGTCTCCGGCCAGCAGCGCGCCCTCCGCGCGGCCCCTTGGGTGTTCGCCGCTCGCGGCCCAGTCGTCGACCACGGCTTGGGCCTCCTCCGCGGCAGCCGGGGGCAGCCCCGCCTCGAAGGCCTGCAGAGCGGAGGCGGCCTGCGTGTCGAAGCGCTCCAGCAGAGGGGCCCCCTCGACTCCCGCCACGGCGAGGGCCTCGTGCAGGCTGGCCACGTGCACCCGCGACTCCACGCGGGAGGCGAAGGAGGCTGGCAGGGCCGCGCTGGCCCCGCGCAGGCCGAGCCCTCCCCCCGCGGACGCCCACGGAACACGTGGCCCATGACGCCTCGCCGAGCGGCCCGCCGAGCAGGCGCGTCGTTGCGCGGCGGGGCACGCCGTCGTAGCGAGCCAGCGCCTCCTCCTTGGACGCCCGAAACGGGTACGGAGAGAGTGGGCACAATGCCCAACAGCAAACGTTGTCCCAAACCATCACCGGCCGCTCTTTGGCAAGCGGCCGTCTGTCTCAAAGGGACACAGGCCGCGGCGGCGCGGACAGCGAGTCCGGTCCAAGATGAACAGGAACTGCTGTTGGGCATCGTACCCATTCTCTCCGCACCCATTCCGCTCGTGCCGATCCTCGCTGAGGGTCGGGCCGGCTGCGCGGAGCAAATGGACCACCCTGCAGACGTCTGCGCAGCGCCGCAGCAGGCACGAGCTCGGCGCTGAGAGCACGCGGGCGGTCCGGCCCGTCCGCCCGGGGTGCCGCCGACTCCAGGGCGCAGTCCGTGGCCCAGCGAGGGCGCGCCGCGGCAGCGGCGCCGCGGCGGCGCGATGCCCAAGGACCCGAAGGACCTAAGGTCCCGAGGCCCGAAGGGCCTACTGCCCGAAGGCCCTCAGATTCTGAGACCCTGAGGCTCGAATGGCCGAGTGCCATAATGCCCTGAGCCCCTGGAAACTCGAAAACCTAAGCCCGCAAGGCCCTGAGACCCAACGGTTGCAAGCCCCTGAAATCTAAGGCCCTCCGGGCACCGATGTACTAATACCCTAAATCCCTAAGACCCTAAGGCTCTGAAATGCCCCAAGACCCTAACAGCCCAAGACCCTAAGACCTGACCGCCTTCAGACCCGAACTCCCTAAGACCCTAATGCGCTTAGACCTTAAGACCCTAAGGCCCCAAACCCTAAGATTGGCCTGGGAGCGAATGTCCCCACGGCCGGGTGGTGTGCCCGCCCGGGCCGTTGCGGGCGCACTTGCGCGCGCGCCTTCAACTTCGCCCACGTGGGGCCCGAACACCAACACCCAAAGACAGAGCCGCCTAAGAACTTCAGACTCTAAGACCTTGAGGCCCCAAGACTCCAAGGGCTCCAAGACCATGCAGGCTAGTTTTCGAAACCAGACGGGGGTACCCTAATCTACGCCGTTTTCTTTTTTTGCTCGACGGCCTCCACGATGTCCCCAAGAGGGTACCCAAGGTCTCCAAGATGGCCCCAAGAAGCGCCTAAGAGGGGTCCACGATAGCCCCAAGAGGGCCTCAAGAGGACCCAGGAGACCTCCAAGATGACTCCAAGAGGGCCCAACGATGGCCCCCAGATGCCTCCAAGACGCTACCAGAACGACGCACGCACGTCGGGCAACGACAGCAACCACTCTACCGAAGCGGCCCCGGGCACGCACGACGTCAACAAGCACCACAAGCAATGATAGGCAACCGCTCAACCAGGACAACCACGAGGAACTGCGAAACGCACGCAACGCCACAGACGCCATCAATCAAACGCACAGGGAGCCTGTGGTTGCTTTGGTTAAGTGGTTGCCTGTCATCGTTCCCTCATCAAGGCAACTCGCCTGGTGACGTGTCTGTCTCTTGATGGGCTGGTAGGGATATTTTTTTTGGTCGGCGGCTCCAAGGCAACGGTCAAGGAGCGAAAGCGGCGTCCGGGTGGCGGAACGGGGCGAATTTGCGAACAAAGCCGCCAGTGTCGGCGGACAAGCTCGCACTCGCAAGGCAAACTCGCAGTTGCACATGCACCAAAGAAAATGACCAAAAAAATCACAAGCAAACGCAAAGCGTCAAGAATGGGCTCCCCGAACTGTGTCTGAGAGCGGCCAGGGGAAAAAACATAACCCTTCCAGGACCAAATGTCGTCCTCATCTCAGCGTCTTTCCCTGTAGGCGGCTGCGCTCGGCACGGCGGGGCACGGGGCCGAGCCCAAGTGCGGTAAAGCCAGAGCGGGGCACGTGCACAGAAGCTCCGTCGGGGCGCTGCCCTAAGGACCCCTAAATAAGGAACGAGGCCCCTTGTTTCCATAAGTTGACCTTCGATTTCCTGTCGAAGACATCAGGAAAGCCTGAGGCAAGCTGTGAAACACTTCAGGAACGCAAGAGCCCCTCCCCAACGAAAAAGGGTTCCTTCTTCAGGGCCCCGACTGCAATCGGCCACGGCGGAAACGTGCGAGGACGCGGGACAAGCGATTCGCCGTGTTGGTGCCGTCCCCGCAGTGCACACCGCAGAATAGAACAACGGCCCAGCAGCTCTCCGTTCAAGGGGACCGGCCCTCTGCCCCCGGCCTGGCACGGCACTGCACCGTGCGGACTGTCTCGCCCTGGCCCCTGCCCTGCCCTCTTTTTGCGCTGCCGGGCCAGGCGTCATTCTGTGCTTGCTCTGCTGCCTCGCGTTGCCGTGCGGGGCCTGCGCAACCCAGCCCTGCCGTGCCTTCCCTCGTTCCGAATTCGCCTTGCGCCCTCTCTCTGTGTGTGTGTGTGCCTTTCTGCGCGATGGGCCAGTACGCCCCTCTATATCCCTCCTGGCCTCTCACTGCTTCGCCAATGTGATCGCTTTCTCGGGGGACAAATCCAAGGGGAGCCCTGGTATCGCAACGGGCAACCGAAGAACTGGATCCAAGTCGGACGCGCCTCGCCCTTTGGGCGCTCCACTTTGCAACCAAGCCAACTCTGCAGCTCCTCATTCCCCCCCATTCTCCCGACTCCACCTTCCCTTCCATCCCCGACACCCCACGGACGCGGGGCAAATAGGTGATGCGTCCCCCCACTGGCGAGGGCTCGCCGACTGATGCCAAGCAGCCGTTGAATCCGTCGATCCTTGAACAAGATAGCCTCCCCGAGCATGTCGTCCTTGCCTACCTTAGCGCTGCGCCACCCAGCACCCGCCCGACGAAAGAGACCATGGCGCGACAGAACTGACTGACCTCCAGTGAGAAGGCCGGGCCGAAGGAAGCGTCAACACCTGTCCTTTCTCGCGCCCCCTGCCTGGCATTATTCTGATGCTGGTCCTGGTCCTCCTCCTCTGAAGGGGCCCTGGGACACACAAATAAATACACACAAATAAAAGTATTCCCGGTATTTTCCATTTTTATTTTTGTTTTTGTCTTCCCGCCCAATTCCCATATTTTCCTATATTTTCCTGGGACTCGATGATTAATTGTGTCTGTTTCTTTCCCTCCTGATCCTCAAGGGCTCCTAACTTCGCGCTCGGCGCTGCGCGAAGAACTTCGCTCTCTCGCGCCGCCCCCCAGGGGAGAAGAGAAGGACGAGGAGGACGTGGAGCCGAAGCGCGAAGCGCGAAGCACGACAAACTTCGCGCCCTCGAGGGCGCCCTTGCTCCTGGTCTTGCTCCTCCTCCTCCTCCTCCTCCTCCTTCTGCCTGCCCGCTGCTCCTCTCCCTGCGTATGCCGTTCGCTCCGAGGCGGGATAGGTAGAGAACGCGTGGTGCCCGCCGACCGCGTGCACACACGAGCACAGCCGAGATTTCACTGGCGGGACTCGTCACGAGACGCGGCAGCCCCTCCGCGGACGCAGATCTGCAGACACTGGTCACGTGACGCGCCCGCGCGGATCCGGGAGAGCTCCAAACGAGACACCCCCACCAGCCCTTGCCGTGCCCACCCTGGGACCTGGACTGGCGCACAGGCCCTCCTGGCCCAGGCCTGGAGGCCTGTGCACCAATCCAGGGCCCAGTGTGGACCTGGCCAGGGCTGGCAGTGGTGTCTTGTTGGCGTCCCTCCGAAGATCGATCCCCGCTCGCCTCTGGCGTCAATTAGGCCTCCCGCCAGGTCCTTGTCGAACACTTGCAGCACCAGCTTCCAGTCACCCTTCCAGAACAATGTTTTCGTCTCATTCCACACAGGGTCGAGGTCATCGTTGATGACCTTTGTCTTGAAACCGTATGGATGCTTGTCAGGCTCCTTGTGCCGGCCAGACTGTAAGAATCCCTTGACGTATGGATCGCTCTTCCCGAACGTGTCGGCGTTCCTGAGTGCCTGGGGGATCGCAACGAACACTACCTCCACCGGCTGGGACGAGCAACCTCAAAATATCTAACATATTCGTGCAGGGCCGAATTATTACGCGAGCACTTTTCTGATCGGAGCGATGTGGATGGCAATGCGATGTGACACGTGGAGTCCTTGGCAGATTCAATCGTGATCGAATAGGGCTCCTCGTTGACGTCATCATGGCTCTGGCCCATCAACTTGGCGGCTCTCTTTTGGTTTGGATCCGTGCCAGATATTTGTCTGACCACCGGCCACAGCTGCAGGTGGCAGTGCACCCTCACCGCCTCAGTTGGTTGTATACTGATTTGGCGGATTGTTATCACGAAGATCTGAAGCACAATGTGTGAAGACAACGCTGTTGCTTATGATTCCTTTCTGAAGCCTGTCCAATGACACTCTTGACTCCGTCGAGATAGCACAGGTCCACGAACAACATATGCCTTCCCAAACGATAAATGTTGGTTGGGCCATCGGCAAGCTCGTGAGGTTCTAGATATACGACCAACGACAATCTGACTATGATAAGCCCCAGTGAATCTACAACAGAGGGAACAACTGTCACACTCTATTATTTCTACTTTGCTTTGCGATACGCTGCATGCCTCTGCTGTGCATTGCTCTGCGTTGCACTGCATGGCGTTGTTTTTTTTTTGTTTTTGCACCACGGTGTATTTCTTTGCATTGCGTCGACGCATATCGCTGTGACTTTGCTTTGATCTGATTTGCTTTGCCCTGCTTTGTTTCCAATGGTTGCTGGTCAACTGGAACGCAACGTGCTCTGCACCTCCCGGGATCGAGACCGACAACTTGCTCGAGCCGCGTCCAGCCGTGGCGACGAAGGAGCCCCTCCTCCCCCCTCCTCCTGCCCGTCCAGTACCCCAAGAGGGGGAGGATGTTGGAGGAAAAGTAGTTGGAGGAGGAGGAGGAGGAGGAGGAGGAGGAGGAGGAGGAGGAGGAGAAGGAGCAGGAGGAGGAGGAGGAGGAGGAGAGGAGGAGGAGGAGGAGGAGGAGGAGGAGGAGGAGGAGGAGGAGGAGGAGGAGGAGCAGGAGGGCGATGAGGAGGAAGGAGGAAGAGACAGTGGACAAGGAGGAGACCACGCCTGGGCCACCCCGCGCCCCCCCAGCCTGCTCCAACGGCCCTGCCCGGGCTTCTCCTCCTGAGCCCTCGTTTGTCAGCCTGGGGGCCCGGCGAGGGCCCCAAGAGGCCGAAAATGGCCCCAAGAACCGCCCGTCGATAAGCCCCAAGGAGGAAGAGCAGGAGAAGGAGGAACAGGAGGAGGAGGAGGAGGAGAAAAGGAGGAGGAGGAGGAGGAGGAGGAGGAGGAGGAGGAGGAAAGGAGCAGGAGGAGGAGGAGGAGAAAAGGAGGAGGAGGCTCACTGGGTCACCTCAGCGCCCCAGCCGGCGCCAAGCCCAGCCCGGCTCGCTTCAGATCACTGCCTCGGGCACTTCGAGTAGGAGATCGACTACAGAAGTGATGGACCCCAACATTGAACCTTTCGGAGTACCGACGAAAACTAGATAACATGCCCGTATACCTACGAACATTACCCGTCGGTCGGAAGAAGTGGGTAGAAACATGAAGCAGGAAGGCGTTGAAGTAGATTGGGCTTCCGCCCGCCGACTGCACAGAAGGGAAGAGGCAAAATCGCTCGACCCTTGAAGCAGGAGGGTACCTAAAACACATTGGGATGTGGATATCCAGCCGTGCATACTTTCAACGTCCTGAGGAGGAGGCCAGGAGGAGGAGAAGGAGGAGGAGGAGGAGGAACAGCATCAGGGAGGAGGAGGAGGAGGAGGAGGAGGAGGAGGAGGAGGAGGAGGAGGAGGAGGAGGAGGAGGAGGTATACATATTCTCCTCGACCCGGCGGGAAAAATGCTAGGGGCGCGCGCAGAGTCGCCCCCCTCGCGCGCGCCCTGCGCTCGGCGGCGCGGCGCGGAGGGCGACTCTGCAAGGCTGCGGCCTCGGGCGGACGTGCGCCCCTGAAGCGGTGCCTGCGCACGCGCGCGCGGGGAGGCACCGGCCAAGGCCGACCCAAACCTGGGCCGGCCAGGCTCTGCCGGGGAGCCCACGGAAGACTCGGGAGCGGCCAAGAGGGGGGTGGCCAAGAGGGGGGGGTGCAGACCATGGCCGGCGGCATGTGCGCGGCCCAGCGGGGGGGCCAGGGACGTAATGAAATAAGAAGAGGCGCCATGACATCTGGGGAAATCTCATGGCCCACGCCATGAGATCCACCCCCCCCTAGTCAGAATCACCCCCCTCTTTTCCGCCCCGAAAGACGTGCGCGCCGGGGAGGCACCGGCCCGGGTCGACCCAAACCTGGGCCGGCCAGGCTCTGCCAGGGAGCCCACAGAAGACGTGCGCGCCCAGCCACGTACCTGAGCACGGCCCCCCAGCCCTCGAGACCCATCTCGTGACGCGAAAGATCGCGCAATGCGTGCTCCCGAAGCCAACGTGGACCCGTCGTGTACGTCCTTCTTTCGCCCCTGATTTGCAGGATCCAGCACCATCCTGCAGCATCCTGCGGGATCCCGTGCGCTGGCCTGGGTCGGTGCAACCCTGGCTTCGCAGGATCCTTCAGGATGCGGCGCTCTGGCTGACCCCCGCCTGCACCGACCCCCGCCCCAGGGCCCCCGAACACGCAGGATCTGGAGGCGGTCGTTACCAGCCTGGAACATATCCCTCTCCCTATGCTGGGCACCTCCTCATCACGATGCCAATCCTAGGGATTCCCCTGTCTTTTGAGGGCGACTGCCTGAGATTGCCATCGCCTTTTGGCGTGTCGATCTTAGGGATAGGGATACGTTCGAGGCTGGTAAGGTCGGGAGCCAGAGGGGGGAGACCTCGAGGGCGCGACCAGCAGCCGCGGCAAGGGACGCGCCCGCTGCGCGCCGAGCCGCCCGGGGAGCGCGAGCGAGGGCGCCCCGAGGGGTCCAAAGAGGCTGCCCGACCGCAGGAGATTGTGAGCGGGAGGAGGGCTGCCGACGGCGGCCAGGGAGCCTGAGCTGATTGGGGCCCCCCAGGGCACGAACCTATTCGTATTATTCGAGTCATCTTGACAGATGCTGTCGGCTTTCTGGACTTAACTTGAGCTTTAGGACAGCTACAGAACTGATACTTACAGAACCCACCGTGTTCTCATTGCAGAAATGGGCAGAAATGGGGGGCCCCAGAGTGTCGGTCAGGGGGGGAGGGGGAATGAGGGCACATCCCATCAGAGGGTAGCGATTTTTCAGCAAGACAATGGGGGCCCCGGAGTATCGGTCATGGGGGGGGGGGGCAATGAGGCCACCTCCCATCACAGTCGGTCCCAGGAGGCCCCTTCCGGGGCCCAGCTCGTGCAGCTTGCCACCCCGGGTTCCCTGTTGGCGGTCCTGGGGCCCGAGAAGAGAGCCACAGGAGGCAGCACAATACCAAAAACCGTCCCGAACCCATAACCTCGAGCCGGCCCGCCCTTCCTTCAAGCCAGAACCAGCGCTGAGCCACCTCAGACCCCAAGACGGCTCCAACGTAAGATAGAGGCCTCCCAGGGGGTCCACGCAGACGGGGTCGGAGGATCGCGCCGCATCGCCAATGCCTCGCCGATGCATCGGCGACGTCGGCGGTGCATCGGCGACGCCGGCGTGGAGAAAATCGGGTTCACGTCGAGCCGAGCCGCCGAGCCATCGGCGATGCGGCGCACTCCTGCGACCCCATCTGCTCGGACCCCCTCCGGGAGGGCTGCGACAAACTTCCCACGTCTGAGTCGGCTAAGCTTAAGTCGGCCCTGTCCCCCTACAGGGGGATTTTCGACGAAAAATAAAACATACACTAAAAATATTTAAAAAATAATCCAAAAATAGTCGGGGGACTATTTTCTAGTATTTGTTGGCCTTTGGGGGGTATTTTGAGGGTATCTTTTGTTTTTCGTCGAAAATCCCCTTGTAGGGGGACACGCCCGACATAAGGCTGAGCGCAAGGGTGACCCCAGGCAAGAGCGACCCGTGATGCGCGGCTCGCCAGCCGCCGCGTGCGGCGGGACAGTGGCGGCCTGCGTGTGTGGGCGTGGCCCCGAAGCGCCCCCCGAACTCCGCGCACCAAAGGTCACTCCGGCGAAGGTTCACCTCGCCATCGCTCGGACGTCCATTCCCCGTGCATTTCTCGATTTCGTGCGTGTGTTTTTCGCTAGATGATTCAGCATGCTCCTCGATGGTCGTCGCCAAGGGAAAACGCACACGTCCGAGCGATGCCAAGCCACTCCTGCGTGCCGCCGAGCTCAGGGGCTCGTACCTGCGCCAAGAGAGCTCGGGCGGGCCCGTCGAGGCCTCGCCAGGGTGTCGCCCGCGCCTCATGGCCGCCTCGTGCGCTGGGTGGGCCAGCGAGGTTTCGCCACGTTATCGCCCGTGGCGGTCTCGTGGTCGCCTCTGGCTCGCACCGCGTATACTGCAACATATAGCTTACTTCGTAGAGCTTTCACAACACAGCTCACACATGCACGGCACAAGAACTCAGGGTTTGGGGCCCGCGCTGGCTAGCATGCTGGTTCCAACAGAAAGTAGGCAGGTCACTTGAGCTGTGCACACAGAGGCAGGCCCGGACCAGAGCTGGATCGAGCCCTCCGCCCCAGGACACCCCTGCAGTGGCACACCCCCGCAACCGCCGAGGCGCTTCGAGCGGACGGGGGGTCGGGGGCGACGTGGATGCTGTCCGAGAGGAGGAGGGGGACCCCCCACGGCCAGGCACTCGAGGTCACGCGCTCCTGCTAGGGGCAACCTCAATCCTCTGCTCGTGCGTCGGCCTTCTACGGACTGGCCGCACCACGCCTTACTACGCTTCCGGGGCAGGTGGCCAATACAAGCAACAGCTTCGCTTCCCGAACCGACGCCCTTGCCGGAAGAACGCTCTGGTTCTCACGCCCCGCGATGCGCGACGCCAGATTCTCTTGGCGGTCCCGAAACAATCATTACAATGATAGACCGTGCGGTGACCTCGAAATCTCCAACGACCTCGTAGCAGGGCCCGTCGCCGCATGGCTCTGGGACCCTGGAGGCCCCAGTCGCCCGAGGCGTCCTCGGAGAGGGACCCAAGCCCTCGAACCGTGCGGGGCAGCCCAAATCACCACGGACTCCCCGAATCTCCGACGCCGTGATTTCTCACGACCTTGCCCCCTGAAGGTCTTGGGGAGCACACAGAGGACGTACGCGCCCAGCTATGCACATGAACGCGGCCCCTTGACCCGCGAGACCTGCCGCGCGATACGAACATTCGCGCAAAGCGAACTCTCGAAACCGGCGTGGATTCATGCACATGTACGCCCTTCTGTCGCTCCGGAGGTCTGGAGCCCCCTCCCCGCGGCCCGGTCTCGCCCAAGGGGCGCTTCCTGACGGTCCGGGGGCGCCTGGCGAGGGCCCCCACGGGCAGGGGCCCCACAGGCGCCAGCAACCTCGCGTCTTTTTTTTTTCGGGCGCGGCCAAAGAGGGGGGCGTCCAAGAGGGGGGGGGCAGACCATGGCCGGCGGCATGTGCGCGGCCCCGGGCGGGGGGGGGTCAGGGACGCAAGGAAGTGAGAAGAGGCGCCAGGAACTCTGGGACATCTCATGGCCCACGCCATGATATCCCCCCCCCCTAGTCATCACCCCCCTCTTTGCCGCCCCCGATATTTGCCAGCCTGGAACAGATCCCTATCCCTATGCTGGGCACCTCCTCCTCACGATGCCAATCTTCGGGATTCCCTCATTTTTGAGGGCGACTCCCTGAGATTGTCGTCGCCTTTGGGCGTGTCGGTCTTAGGGATAGGGATACGTTCGAGGTTTGTAAGATATTTCGTCGCGACGAGACGAAGTGAAAGGCACCCCGAAGCCCCCCATGGCGCACCACGTGGAGCGGCCTCCGCACCGCTCGGGGGCCCACGGCTGCCTCCGCGCCCACGCTTACCAGCCTCGAACGTATCCCTATCCCTAAGATCGACACGCCAAAAGGCGATGACAATCTCAGGGATTCGCCCTCAAAAAATGAGGGAATCCCTGAGATTGGCATCGTGATGAGGAGGTGCCCAGCATAGGGATAGGGATCTGCTCCAGGCTGGTAACACGCGCACCTCCCCCAGAGGACGCCAGGGCCGCGACGCACACGACGCGCGGCGGATCACCCTCGCGCCCCCGCGGGCGAGCCGGGGACCGCTGGCGAGTCGGGTCGGGCGAAAGGGGGGGATGGCAAAGCGGGGGTTTGAGAATCAGCTCACGTAGCTGAATTTCCTGGCGCCTCCCGGCGCCGGAGGCGGCTATGTACACCCTGCGAAATGCTTAAGAAACCATGGGTTAAGAAATTCAGCGTCTCAGAACTGGAATAAAAACCCAGAACTTCTATCAAAATCTTGGGATTTACATTGGCAAGTTAAGAATAATCAAGACTCTGGCCGAAAACTTAGGTTTTCTTAAGCATCGCCTAAGGTGTATCGAGGAATGGGCTCCTCGGCGAGGCCGAAACCAGGTGCATGCAGCAAATTTCGTACCCCCCCCCTTGAATCCCCCCCTTTCGCCCGGCCCGAGCGAGGGCCCGGCGCCGAGGCCGAGGCCGAGCCCAGAGAGCCCCAGACGCCCGACGCCTCGGCCTCCTCGGGGCGTCGGGCCCCCGACCTCTCGACCAGCTTTCCCCAGGACGGGGCTCTCCTCCCGGCTCGTCCCTCCTCCTCCTCCTCCTCCTCCTCCTCCTCCTCCTCCTCCTCCTCCTCTGCCGACGGGCCCGAGGCCCGGCGTCCCGGCAGAGGTCGAGGTCGACCATGTTTTCCAGCACGGGCCCGAGGCCCGGCGTCCTGGCAGACGCCGAGGCAGAGGCTGCCGATCGCGTTTCGGCCCCTCTCGGGGCCCTTCTACCGGGCCCCTGGGACAGAGAGTGCAGCGCTGATTCGACAGCCGTCGCTCCCTCGAACCATTCCGCGGCTCGATCTTGAAGCGCTTGCAGTTATCAAGGGGGAGGGTGGGCGACAGACCCCTGGGGACCGTCGACCGAATGACCAGGGACGAGGCACCAGCTCCGGGAGAAGCGTCGTGAGACTCTTCATGGGGGGGGATCCCATGGGGGGATAGGATCCCAGGGGCGGGGATCCCATGGGATCCCCCCCATGGAGAGTCTCCCGACGGTCGAGAGGCCGGCCGGCCCGTGCCCCGGCCAAACCGAGACGCCCGACGCCTGGGATGCTGGACTGTGGCGGCTCACGCGGCGCGACCGGACAGCGCCCTCGGCCTGCGACCGCCACGGGGAGGGGCCGGCGCTCGAGAAAGGGGTGGAAGGGGCCCCTCTCCCCTCTCGCGAGCGCCCTCCCCTCCCCGAAGGAGGGGCATCCCCTCCTTCGGAGGGGGCTCCCCCCGAGGCGGGGGGGGATCCCCCTCCTCGCCCCTCGAGGCGGGGGGGGATCCCCCCCCCTCGTGGAGGGAGATCCCCCCCCCCTCGAGGGGGGAGGGGAGGACCAGCCGCGGAGGGAGCGGGGCGCTCCGGAGAGGAGCGGCGCGCCCGGCGGAAGGCGCCCTGCCGTGCCCGGGCCCCGCGGGGGCTCTCCACTGGCCCCCACGACCACCGGGAATAGTTAGAGGCCTCCTACACCCTGCGAAATGCTCAAGAAATCATGGGTGAAGAAATTCACAGACTCAGAAATTGAACAAAACCCAGCATTTCTAATAAAATCTTAGGATTTACATTGAAACACCAAGAATAATCGAGACTCTGGACGAAAACTTAGGTTTTCTTAAGCATCGCCTAAGGTGTAGATGGGGCCCGAGTAAATGGGGTCGAAGGATCGCGCCGCATCGCCAATGCATCGCCGATGCATCGGCGATGCATCGGCGATGCATCGGCGATGCATCGGCGATGCGTCGGCGATGCATCGGCGGCACCGGCGTGGAGAAAATCGGGCTCCGCATCGAGCCGCATCGTCGATGCATCGGCGATGCGGCGCAATCCTCGGACCCCATCTACTCGGACCCCATCCAGGAGGCCTAGAGGGAACGGCGCGGGCCCCGACGGAAGAGCTGGCCCCGGGGAAGGCCCACGGCTGCCTGCGATCTAGAGTCGGGGCGTGGACCTATAGGGAACCCTGAACAAGGAACGAGGCCCCTTTCATCCATAAGTTAACCTTCGACGTTCCATCGAAAGCCCACGGAATACCGAAGGCAAACTGTGAAACAATCGAGGAACACCGAGCCCCTCCCCAACGAAAAGGGTTCCTTCTTCAGCGCCCCGACTGTACGACCCAGTCCCCTCGGACGCACCATGAGATGTTGGCGCCGCGCTCTTTTCACAACGGGCTTTTTCGCCTGGCTTCGGGCCCAGGGGCCCTCACGGATCGATCGGGCTCGAAAAAACAACGCAGAAAGACGGGGTCTGGGCTCTGGTGATTTTTGGCAATGTAGCAACTTCATGCATGCCAACGTCAGATCTGAGGGCACGTCGTGCCTGGAAATGGGCCTCGTAAGCCCGGACTCGCTAGACCGCCTCAAAACCAATTTTTCCACACGGTGACACGGAAACAAAAAGCTGCACTGCAACATTCCCATGATAAGCCTGGACAAGGGCCCGAAAAACCTGCCCCCCCGGTGGACCCGGACAGAAGCCCGCATCCTGCAGCGCAGCAAGAAAACGAGCTGGACCACCTCAACTGACTCTGAAGGGCAGGGTGTCGTGCCCCCAGCTTGCCAAGGTCCTGGCCGGTCCAGTCCGTGTCCTGGCCTTCGGGGGGACTGGCACAGGGGGGGGGGGGAGGGGCACACCGACTTGGAATCCGCGATACGTCGCCGATAGATCGGCGATGGGACCCCGACTGTGAATCCGCGCGCTCCTGTCAGGGGGACGTAAGACCTGGGTACAGGGGACTCGGAAATCCCCGACGAGGTCGTCCACAAAAAAATGACGAGGCCGAGCCTGCATTCTGACGAGGCCTCCCGCTGCAGACGTCCCACGGAACTCCCCCTCGCCAGAACCCGAGGCGCGGCCGTCAAAAAACGATGGCGAACCCGAGCCCTGGCAAACCCAGGTCTTGCGCTCCGCGCGCTCCTGGGCAGCCTGGGGCTACGGGGCCCCCATGATGGGCCTGTTTTGCACCACCACCACCATAAGTTGGAGGGGGAGGGGGTCCTCCTCCTCCTTCTCCTCCTTCTCCTCCTCCTCCTCTCCCTTCCCCCGATCCAACTTATGGTGGTGGTGGTGGTGGAAAACAGGCCCATCACCCCATCTCGGCGATCCATGGGCGACCGGGCGGGGCTGCGCGCGCCGCGCCTCGGCGAGCCTCGGGAGTTTATAGGGAGCCCACAGAGGACGTACGCGCCCAGCTGTGTACACGAACACGGCCCCTCGATGCGCGAGACCGGCCGCGCTATACGAGCATTTGTGCAGTGCATGCTCTCGAAATCAGCGCGGATTCATGTACATGTACGTGCTTCTTTCGCTCCTGAGAGTCAGGCCGCTGAGCCCGCCGCCGTGGTGTCCGCCTCGAACTTGAGCCTCGGGAAGTTCTCGGCGAGGTCCGGGCGGCACGTCAGCTGCGCAACGGTCGGGGGGATGTCAGCAGCCGGGGAGGCGTCGGCCCTCTCCCCCGACTCGGTGGGGTTTTCTCGATCCGCGGCCAGCCTGGGGGGGAGGTGAGAAGGGGCGGGCCTTCTCAGAAGGTTCGGAAGTCCCGCAGCCTGCTGCGAAGTCTTCTGAGCCTTCCCCGAAGACGCGGAAGACCTCTCAGAAGGCTGGATGTCTTCTGAGAAGCCCCGCCACCGTCTGAGAAGGCCTTCTCCCTCTCATTTCCCCCTCGCGCTCGCCGCCGACTCGGATGCCCCTAAAACTTTGGGCCCCGAACCCAGGGATGTACGGTAGGGGGGCGTCCCTCCTCGATTGCCGGGTGCGTCCGCGTAGCCCCCTGGAGATGTATCACCGCGTCTGTCCCTTGCTCTGAGCGGCTTGAGTTTTAGAGGGTACAGTCGAGGCGTCGACCTAAGGAACCCTAGATCAGGAACGAGGCCTCTTTTTTCCATAAGTGAACCTCCGATCTCCGGTCGAAGACATCAAAGGAAAGCCTGAGGCAAGCTGTG